ACGAAGAGACAGCTAAAAACTAGAACTAAAGAACACATGAATAACATCAAAAAAGATACCTCACAGCTATCTGTTATTTCCAAACATATTATTGACTACGATCATTTGTTTGACTGGGATAATATTGAGATNTTGGATTTTGAATCTAATTTTTACAAAAGATTAATTTCAGAAACAATACATATCAAAGAACAGACTCAGGGGCTTAATTTAATTAATGACACAGATTTACTCGACGATTCTTACTTTTATCTACTCGATGACTTAAAACATGCAGACTTAACTACATACAGACTTTAAAATTCAAAACTCATTGTATTGTTCTGTTGTTTGGTTCTGAGTGGGGCTGTATGTATATATTTGGCTGTCCTTACTGTCTGTTTAGCGTTTGATTTCCGACTACCATCTTGTGAGTATGCTGTGTGATTGTGTGTGGTGACTTATTAAGTATCTTTCTCACTATATTCCGTTGACTGTTTTAGGACGGAAATTTATTCAAGTAAGAACTTGTTTCTTCTTTTTTTTACCAAGAATAACAATGCATTCAAAAGTTTAAAGGATTAATTTGTGAATTATTTTTTATTTTTTGTTTTGATGTACTGAAGATGACTCAAGTAGAGTCGAAACGTTTACATTATATTATTATATATTATTTGTAACCACGGTTTTTTACCTTTGCGGTTTATTGTTTTAATAAAGTTCTTACATTTGCTCGTTATTGAGACCTGTTATTTATCTTTTAATATTGTTTATATTGCGAGCGTTTTTTATGTTCATTAAATAAATCTTAATCAACTACAACATCTGTGAAGTGACGACTATGAACAATCGGGATCTGTGCAAAAATGGAATCTAGGCAAACGAGATCTGTGCAACAGTCGATCTGCGCAAAAGAAATCTTGACAATCGGTGCTTTGCTGTTTATCTGTCGCTTCAGCATCCTCTTAATTACACATTTTTATCATAATCTGAGTGTCTTTTAATATCCTTTTATGTCGTATGTTTGTAAGAAATAGGATCAAAGTACATATGTAGAGCTTAAAAACAATTCTACAATATAAAAATATAGTTAAATTATACTACGAAACTATAAGGAAAAAACTTACACTCATTTTTGATACTTTAAGAGAATTTCATAAAAATCTTATATAATTTATTTGCTTCTAGAGAAGCACTTTTTATTTGCTGTAGTAAATACGGAGAAATTTGGATTCTTCAACGTAAAACGGTATACAGATCTTTTCCAAACTATTAAAGATTTTTTCTAGTTGTAGTTTTTTTCTTTCGACGCAGAATCGTTCTCTCGATTCAAAAAAAAAAAAAAAACAAAAAAACAAAATTGAAACAAAATATATATGTTGATTTTTCGCGGAAATGTTTAATTTTAAAGTCGCGTGGGTTTCACAAATCCAGTCAGTTCAACTAGTACGCATTTTTAGATGTCAGTTCACGAAAGATTAACTTTACATATCTTATACAGGGTGTCCTGTAATTGCCGTTTCACCGCTTGTAGGCAGGTAAAAGCGGTTATTCTAAAACGAAAAGTCCTATATCACTTTGCAAAATTCGCAATAATTAACAAAATATTAATTAATAAAGATCCGCTAATCAGCGTGCATCTAGCGTAAGAACAGCCCAGTCTATCGCGCCGTAGCGATGGAATGGAAGGAGTTAATAGAATAACATGTGCATACATAGACAGCATATAGGCTGCGTTTGGGCAGCGCGCTATCCGCGCTATTGTATTCCGTTGCTACGGCGCGACAGACTGGGCTGTTCTTACGCTGGATGCACGCTGATTAGCGGATTTTCATTAATTAATATTTCGTTAAGAGGGTACTGGATACCGACTATAGAGACCTGTAAATCGACGTTTTAATATTTCGTTTTGTGCCGTATTTANTGCATNAAATCCAAAATGCTTCTACAGAAATAAGTAAATTATGCTAAGAGTTTGCTGTTGTTCTTTGGAATGTCAAAATTCAGCATAAATTTTTTCTTATACAGTTTTCTTCTATAATCTCACNATATATTCATGTATATAAAATTATTTCTAAGCTTATGTACGTATTTACACTGAACTACAGCAATACGTACGACACAAAACAATCTAATGAAACACTCAAAATATGATTTGGTTGTCTAATTGATGCACAAAAAGTAATATTGTGATGATGTGTATTTGATACCATATACTATCATTATGAATAAAAAACAAGTTCAAAAAAGCATTATATACCCATTTTCAAAAGCTTTATATAGTTTTGTATATTTATTTGCTTTTGTAGAAGCGCTTTTAATGTTGTGCAGTAAATAAAATTAAAAAATAAAGAAATTTAGGTTATAAAAACGTCGGTTTACAGGTCTCTATCCAGTTTACAAGCCGGGCTCCAGTACCCTCTTAATTATTGCGAATCTTCCAAAGTGGTATAGGACTTTTCGTCTTGGAATAACCTCTTCTACCTGCCTACAAGCGATGAGACGCCAATTACGGGACACCCTGTATATCAACTCGAAAAGTAACCGCGTGTCAAAACAACAAATAGACAACACAAAAACATTACAACGTTTTTATCAAGGTTTCTGGAAGTTCTTAAATAAATTACCATAAATACAGAAATAAATTAATATAAATAAGAAATGTCAAAGCCAAATACGTTATTAAAAAAGTTATAAAAAATATTTTATACAATGTGTTGATAATGTTTCTCGCCAAGACTTATGATTATGATTTGACAATTAGAAACATTCAGCAATATTTTAGTTTATGAACTAATAGTGAGTAGTGTGTTTATTATATAATAAATAATTTTTTATTTAACTTTTTTTAATGTTTATTAAAGTTTTTTGATTTTTCAATTTTATTTTTTTTATTATTTTCATAAATTTGATGTTCTTTATTTGAATGCTTAATTATAATTTTTTTCTTTAACTTTTTTTACTTTAATTTTTTATCTGTAGTATATACAGAACTTATTTTTGTATATGAACTTCTAGAGATTTTTATAAAAGCACTGCAATGTTTTGTGATTGTTTGTTGTTTTGACTTCCTCTGATTGTTGACATGCAGTTACAATTTTTGGATTGATATATAAAATGATGTACAAAGCTAAGATCACTTTATTTTTAGTTATATTACAGAATGTTTATTTAAACTTTCGTAAAGAATGTAGACAAATGTGTATTTGTATTGTTTTATATAAATGGGTTGAAGATGATCACAATAAAATGATCGAAACGTTTTATATTTAAAAGTATAACAGCAAATTTTTAATTAAAAAAGTTGCACTCAGTGCGCACTAGTGCAGGCTACCGAATTTGCTGTAAATTTAGTTTTATAATAATTAACTATTAAGCTTGTTTTTGATTAAATTTGCTTAAATTTAAAATATGTACTACCATAATATGTACAACAATCATAAATGACGATACCTTCAGTTTGCTCCCGCGCGAATTTCGTTTAGGTATAGGCTAGTCGTATTTTGCGTAACGATATTTTACACTGATTTTGGAAAGGTTGGCAAGCAAAAACCGATCACGATCAAGCACAATAAACGTCATTAATGTTTTTTGAAAAGAATCTTTTTGACAATATTTACTTTTATCATAGTAATCTTTTTTATACAAATTTGATAGTGCAGATGACATTTTGCGCTAAGATAATAGTTCCTCAGACAAAACAACAGCAAAGGTAAGCGTCTATTTCTCAGCAAATAATTTTAAGAACATTAAAATATAATTGTAGTGAATGAATTATATTTTTGTACATTTGTTTAAAACAAATTGTAACACTTTCTATAGTTTTTAGAAATAACCTTCTACTTATCAAAAAAGAAACTTAATTTTACTTGTACAAAGTACATTATATAATTTATAACTACATTTAGAAAGAAGTTACAATTTTTTTATATTCACAAAAAATTTCTAGTTCAAAAAAGATAGATAAAAGATAGAAATTTCTAGTTCAAAAAAGATAAATTTACTAATGTGTTAACCTATAATAGGAAACAAAATTGCTTATAATTCTAAAGACGAGACCATCAACACTATTACGACAATGCTGGAGGGTAAAGTTCTGTCGCGACATCGACGGAAGATCGATGCAGCCGCACCCGATTCGCCGCAGAAAATGGCAATTCCAACCAGTAGAAACTTCGCCAGCTGCTACATAGAATTGTGCAAGCAACAACGTCTGCGACCCTTGCCAGTAATTTGCGTGACTTTGCCGCATAGCCTGGATTTCACTACTGATCGCGTCAAAATAGACGACTGGGGACCAATTTTAAATTCTCTTTCCCTTGATCGATCGCTTAAATCGATCAGCGTGCACAGCAGGTTCTATATTATTTCTATTCTAAATTACCTATTAAGGCTCCTCGACCTAAGCATTAAGTCTGATTGACAGTTGTAACAAAAACTAATAGGCGTAGAAAACACAAAGTTTTTTTCGCGTTGCTTACACTTTTTTTGCATTTAGAATAAGATAGATATATATGTTCACTAGCAATAAAAAAATGTGCGAAATAGACAAGGATCTAAAAGCAAAAGAAAAAGTTTCCGCGTGACTATTTTGCATTTTTTATTGCTAGTGTTCATACTTTGATTTAAAAAAAAAAGAAAACCAAAAAAGTGCAAAAAAAGTATAAGCACAAATAGATCTATATCTGCACATCACATAGCGACTTAAAAAGGCCTAAAAAAATACAAAAGTTTCGCGCATTTTAAATAGAAATAAAAATGTTTAACAACAAATCAATACTGGAAACTTCGTTCGGAGTATAATTAGTAAGAAACGCAAAGTCAAAGTATGATTTTAACAGTTATCAAAACCTGTGATAAATTCATATTTCGATTTTATTATGTAGCCTTCGGTTTTATTGTTGAATCGAAAGAAGAATTTTCGATATATTTTACAATAGATTCTTACTTAAATCTATTCTGTTTAAGTCAAATCAAGGCAATGACTCGCTTACGTTTTCTTTTTCCCATTGGCGTCTCGTATACTTACAAGCTGTTAAGTGAAATAATTATACATAAGTTGCATAAATATATACACGTTATATATGTCATACAAATTTAGTATATGTAACTATGTGTATATTATAATACACAGTCACAATACAAACCTTATTTACTACTATTGTCATTGCTTCTCTCTCTTAAGGTCACTAACATAATCAGTTACTATTCTGCATTGATATGTACAGTACGTATAAACTATGCAAGAATAAAATAAAAATGAAAGAGATAAAAGAAACATGACTTAAGCGGGTTACTCGGTAAACAGAAAAGTACTTCCCAGTAAACACAAAGTAACAGTTACGTAACATTAATGTTATAATTTCCCACTCAACAATGTAACTGCTACGTACAAGGCATGTTACATTGCAGTTACATTGTTGAGTGGGAAATTATAACATTAATGTTACGTTACTTTGTGGTTACTAGGTTCAGAAGTGTACTTTATTGATTTTACGTCCAATCATACAGAAATATAATATAAATACTTTTATGTTTACACAAAATGCATGAAACTTTTGTATATCTTCCTTACTTTTCATCATCAGTTTAAGATAATCGCGGAAGTATCAAAGAGCCTTAAATATTATACTGTAGATCAATTCTCAAAACAAAATATCAGAGAAGTGGTATATTCGTTTATTCTAAATTAATAAACATTTTAGATAAAAAAATTAACACATTTATAATGCAATTTTAATCCTAGATACCAATGTCGCAAACTGTTGGAAGAAGTAAATTCTGAAGATAAAGTGCGAGCGATAAATAAAGCTCCGGTGGTCCTCACGCGGTACTTGTTAGAGTGGCTGTCGCAAAGCGTCGGTCAGTGCATAAGAAACTCGTCTAGCCTCACACATTTAGAACTCGAAGGCATTCCGTTTCCACCGGACTGCATCGCAGTACTTTGCGTCGGTTTGTCGAGAACTGAAACTTTGCACCATTTGTCTCTTCGACGTTGCTATATTGGCGACACCGGTTGCGAGCTAATTTGTCAAACAATAGCAGATATTCGTAGTATAAAAACGTTGAATCTTAGCTACTGCAATCTAACATCTACTTCCGGCAACGCGTTAGCATCCGCGCTCTCTAGACAAAAACTGGCATTATATCATGACACGTGGAAACAGTCATTAAGGTATCGCGATGCCAACTTTGAGACAATGCCAGGACTACGCCGATTGACCTTGAATGACAATCCACATTTAGGCAACTGCGCAGTGAAAGAGGTGATCGAAGCGATACGTGACAGTTTATGGATGAAAGCGCTAGATCTCCAACATTGTGGCTTAACAGATCAGATTGGCACAGATCTATTAAATTTACTGGATCAGAACAACACACTTGCTGTGCTCGATGTGCGAAAGAACACGAATTTAAACGAAGAACTTGCAGTAGAGATCATGAAGAAATTGGAAGAAAATGTCGAAGAGAAGTCAGATTATAAATGGCTAGGATTAGCGCCGAAGGACCAGAGAATTGCTTCAACTGACATTCAAAAAGATAGCAAAAAAGAAGACGCTACCAAGATCTCTAGATCACGAAGTGCGTTCATCCGATACACAAGAAGACCATTTCTGGCAATACCTATAAGAAGAACAGTTCCACTGCCAATTCTACGGACAAAAATCAAATCGGATTTGCCGTCATTTCACGATGTTATTCAGCAACGCAATTTACGACCACGAACAATGGATACCATACAACCGACGTCTAAGATTTCTCTTCATCTAGATCTTCAATCTCATATACAATCCACAAATCATGCCAGTCATGAAAACGCAGTACAATATTCCACGGAAACTAGTTTAAAAAGTCTCGATTCAAGCAAAGTGGACGTCGGCACACAAAGTCAACACGATGAATCAGAAGAGATTCATAATATTTTAGAACAACTAACAAAAGCTCAAGAAGAACAAGACAAGCTCCTCGAAAAAACTAAATATACCGATCGTATGCTCATCGAAGAGCGAACACGGCGCGAAACCGCCGAGATAAATCTACGCTTAGCGCAAAACAATATAGTTGAAATGGAAAACGCTCTGACAAAAAAAGAAAACGAGACCAGAGATTATTTATTGATCAGTCAACAGTCTTTAAATGAGATATGCTTGTCTTTCGATCGTCTTCTGCAGCTATTGGAAAACGTTGTCTCTAATTATCCTTTTGACAAAACGCAAAACACGCAGCGGATAACGACGAGCGCGGACATCAAACAGCATCTTGCATCTGTTATCAAACAGACTAAGTCAGAAAATCTGAAGCGAAGCTATAAAGTGAATATTAAGGTACCGAGATACAGCGTCATAGACAGCGCGCGGAAATTTGTTAAGTCCGAGAGTGATGTCAGATCAACTCTGCCGATCTCGACGATTCATCTTGAGAGAAAGATCGGTGAATATCCAGATGAAAATGACTCACGCTATAGACATTGCGATACCAACAAGCCGATATCGCCTAGCGATCGTGCCCGAGCAATTTTCGCTGGAATTGTCACCAGCGAAACCATGCTTCACTTTTATTAATCGATCAATATGTTCGGCGAGTTCAGTGAACGTCTGCAAACAGTATGATAAAAAGAGAAATATGTATATATGCAAAAATATGTGTATATGCAGAAAATGTACACAGATTTTGTGCACATACATATTATACACACACATATGTTCACGTGCATGGTATACGCGCACGTTATCTTTTTTTTATAAACTATTTTATTATATCACATTAAAACTGTTACAATATTTCGGTATTAGTTTTTTTATATCTCAATATATTTCAATATATGTGTGTGTGTATGTATGTAGGTACAATGTATTTCGAACATTCAAGATACATAAAAATGTATAAAACATCTTTTTAGGTGTTTGTTATAGACGTTTGGCGTACTTTTGTATTTTATCTAAAAAGTGAATATTGTGTGTCAAAACTTTTCAATGTCTACAATTTAAGACTAATGGCAAATATAAACATCAATTGTGCAAATTTGGTTGCACTATTCCAGCACTTGAAAGCTTACAAGAAACACTTACAAAATTGAGCGAAAGAAAGAACTATAAAATTGAAACAAAAATAAAGTGAAAGGTTTAACATTATTCGAGATATTGCTACATGGAATTGCAACCGAGCTCGCGAAATTATCTCAGTTGTACAATTTTGTCACACATATACTGAAAATTTTGAATAATCAGAAATGTAGGATACATATTACTTGTGGAATAAACAGCTATTACAAAAGTAATCAAATACACAAAGTATGTACTTTGCTTTTGTAACAGTATATAATGTAATAATTCGCTGAGAATTCCGCGCTTCTGAACTGCTCCGAGACATTGGCTGTTTTAATGTTCATCCTTCAGGTTTCTATAAATTTTCCATTACTCTTTCAATCTAGACAACCGGTTATCTGATAAACGCTACATTTATTCGGTCTGCCAGTCAAAGGTAATTTTTCATGATAGGTCACGCTCGGCATGTCGCTCACGATGGCGAAAGCTAAACCTAGTGTGCAACACAAGATCAAACGTGCCAACAACGATGGCATCTCGTTGCTCCTGTCGCTTCACTTGTCGATAAGTGACTGTATTGATCGTCGTCTCCGTCATTGGTTATTAATCGACTGTGTCTAAGTTGAAATTTCATAGATTCATAGAGCTTTGTGACGCCACTTACAAGTTTGCACCTGCAGTTAACACTTTTGCCCTTTCGATGTATTAGTCTTATTACTATCGATTTGCGAACAAGAGTGTCTCACTTGTTGTTACTTAATATATTTATTTTACCGAAATTTTTATTTATTATTCTGCTTTTTAATGTTTACTAATATATTTTATTACAACTTTTTAATGTTTACTAATATATTTTATTACAAAGACATATCTACTTACATATGATGATATATGTACTTATTTGCAAAAATTAAATAAAACAATTAAGCTAAATAGAAAATCAAAACTAAAATTTGATATAATAAAGAAGATAGTATGTGTGTGTATATACAGGGTGTTCCTGAATTGGTGTAACATTTCTCGTAAACAGGTAGAAGAAGTAAAATTGAGTTGATAAGTCTTATATCATTTTGCTAAATTCGCAATAGTTACCGAGATCTCAATTAACAAAGATCTGCGAATAAGCGTGCATCGGGCTGACTTACGCGCGTAGGACAGCCCAGCGCGTTTCATTACGCGCGTACGATTACATCTTAATATGTATATGTTATAGAGAGTATATGCTGTTATATTAGCTCCTCCCATATGTTGCTACAGGTAACACCGTAAGCGCGCGAAGCGCGCCGGGTTGTATTATGCTCGTAATGCTACCTCTAGACTATGCGCGTATTCGTGATTCGTGATTCGTGATTCGCGATTATACAAACACACTTTTTGCGTGTATTCGCGTAACTACTACGTAACTACGTAGCGCATTGCTACGAATCGCAAATCACGAATCACGAATACACGCATAGTCTATTCCCAGCATAAGACAGCTCGATGCATGCTTATTTGCTGATCTTTGTTAATTAAGATCTCAGTAACTATTGCGAATTTAGCAAAATGGTATCGGACTTATCGACTCAGTTTTACTCCTTCTACCTGTCTACGAGAGATGTTACACCAATTCTGGGACATCCTGTATACAGGGTGTCTGACAACGAACTATAAAGCCGACGTGTGTAGGTAGATTGGATCAATCTGAGCAGAAAAGTTGTTTACCAGTTTGCAAAATTCACAATAGTTATTAAGATATAAATTAATAAATATGAGCCGATGAGAGCGCGCAGGGGGCAATGATCGGATTCTATATGCGTGCACGATTATCAGCTCTACTTCTCGCTCGTCGCTGCTCGCTGCGTACCGACGAATAGCGCCCGATTGCAAGAAGCTGAGTCGCGTCGCGCTTTTTGTATACTCCGCCTCTCGTTGCTAAGACATTGCATGAGAGAAGCCATTTTTTTTTCCAGCTGATAATCGTGCACGCCTATAGAGTCCGATCATTGTCTCCCGCGCGCTCATTGGCTTGCATTTATTAATTCATATCTCAATAACTATTGCGAATATTGCAAACTGGTAAACTGGTTTTCTGCTCAGATTGACTCAACCTACACACGTCGGCTTGAAAATTCGTTGTCAGATACCTTGTATATATACATATACAGTATGAAATTTGACAAATATACAGATCCAACAATTACTTTAACATCTCTTGTAAGCAGGTAGAAAGAGTAAAACTGAGTCGAAATTAAAAAAGATCCGCGAATAAGCATGCATCGGGCCGTTTTACGCGCATAAGACAGCCCAGCGCGCTTCGTGCGGTTACCTTTTATTATGTATACAGGGTGTTTGATAAGTACCATCTCATCGCTTATAGGTAGGTAGAAGGGGTTATTCTAGGACGAAAAGTCCTATACCATTTTGGAAAATTCGCAATAATTAACAAAATATTAATGAATAAAGATCCGCTAATCAGCGTGTATCCAGAGTAAGGACAGCGCAAAGACAGCCCAGTCTTGGCGCTTGTTGGCGAGCAACCGCCCTGCTTGCCCTCCGATCCTGCGCCTTCTCTTCGAATTCCTGACGCGCTGTGTACACATGTTATTCTATTAGCACCTCCTATTCTGTCGCTACGGCACATACGCACGAAAGACTGGGCTGTCCTTACGGTATTCTTACTCTGGATGCACGCTGATTAGCGGATCTTTATTCACTAATATTTCGTTATTTATTGCGAATTTTCCAAAGTGGTATAGAACTTTTCGTTTTAGAATAATCCCTTCTACTTACCTACAAGCGGTGAGACGGTACTTATCAAACACCCTGTATGTTAGTATATGCTGTTATATTACTTCTTCCATACGTTGTTACGGGTAACACCGTGAGCGCGTGAAGCGTGCCGGGCTGTCCCACACGCGTAAGACAGCCCGATGCATGCTTATTCGTGAATATTGTTAATTAAGATCTCGGTAACTATTGCGAATCTCGTAAAATGGTATAGGATTTTTCGATTAAGTTTTACTCCTTCTACCTGTCTACGAGAGATGTTAAAGTAATTTTCGGACACCCTGTATATGTATATATTTGTCAAATTTCATACTTAATAACTCAATACATACATACAATATATGTAATAAAAATAGTATTTACCCAAATACGCCTACAGCAACAGCGGCTTCACGAAGCGCTCTTTCTTGGTCCATTTCAACGAGAGCTTCTGGTCTAATAGTGGCAGTGTTTCTTGGTTGACGTTCATTTTGAACAGCTGCAATGTTACAAATTAAAAAATGTATCTAAAAGAAAATAGCTATTATAATTGAAAAGAATAACCCATTTCTTTTAGTTAACAAATAATTAACAAATTAAGAGTTGTTTATAATAAGTGTTCTTTCTCACTTTATCTTTTTTCAAAATAATGAAATGTTTCAATGTGTTTTATTTTTGGCTTTTGCAGTTACGTAGCATCAACACAATTAATTCTATGTTTTTGATTTAAGTGATGTGCGAGATGTGTTTTTAAGTGCACCATTCGCAATTTTTTCTTGCTCGACAAATAAGTTAGTTATTACAAGTTTTTGTGATAAGTTACGATAGTATATTGAATTATCAATTACACATGTCTAAAAATAGCATGTTTTAGAATATATTAAAAGTACTTTCTGAAATAATGTATTCTTTTTGCATCCTGCAAAAATTGTATAAATCAAATTGTGTAATATATTCTATACAGAACAACATTCTATACAAACTTCCATTAGATGTTTATTAGACGTTACATAGAGGTGTATATCTTACATTTTTATATTTATAATTTGTGATATAATACAATTTTTACAATAGTGTGCTAAAAATTTATATTCATGTGCATACATTGTACATGTACATATACATATATATTTTATTCAAATAATATATTGCTAATAATAAAAGAAATATAAATGCAAAAGATCTGTTTATTTTCCATACTTATATATCGACTAGTATATAATAAAGGAGAAGAAAAGACAAATTTGGCGATAAAGTAGTCAACTCATTATTCAATCATCCCAATACTCAATCAAGTATAATAATTATTATTTTACAGTGATTGATAAATAACATTAATATTAAAACAATTTTTTTATGAAACAAACACTTGCGTGTCGGAAAAAATAGCTTTTCTTCTTAAAAATGAAATTTAAAAAAGAATTAAGAACTATTAAATATATGAATTAGTATAGGTATCAAGTTATCAGATTAGAACCAATAGTTGTATATAATGTACACAGCGCCTCAGGAATTCGAAGAGTAAGCGCGGGGATCGGAGGGCAAGCGGGGCGGTTGCTCGCCAACAAACGCCGTATGAAGTGTACAGTAGGGAGCACCATATCGTGCGGCTCTAGGAGAAGTATTCATCGGAAATTTTTTTTCTAGCTGCTCCTATTACTGCGCGCTGCTCTCCTTCGATCTCGGGCTGCTGGCAGAGATCGAAGGAGAACGACGCGCGATGGTAGAAGCAGTCAAAGGAGAAATTCCCGAAAAATACTTCCCTTGGAGCCGCACGATATGGTGCTCCCTACTGTACATACGGCCCGCTATACGACCCTACTCTTCGAATTCCTGACGCGCTGTGTACATGTGTATGTATTGTACAGAATATTTAGGGTTAGATGTATATTTTTGACATAATAATCTTTTTTAACTAAGTCATAGGCTAGTTATAGGTAAGTATTAAAATGAAAACAATTTATTTTTATGCTTTAATGCTTATTTATATTTACTTGTTTTGTTTTTAGGTGTTAACTTTAGGTTAACTATAATTCCACTTTTAATCCGATTGTCTATTGAAATAGATCGTGATTGAATATTGGTTTTCTTGATTGTTTATAAGTTTCGGTAAATATGCATAAAAAGGGAGCACCCTCGGAGGTCATTGTCCTTGACATATGTTGTCAAGGACATCTTCCTGAACAACAATCTGCAACTTTTAGCTGTCGCTCGTTGTTCGTTAAAAAATTATAAACAAAAGAAATATCATAAATGACCTCTTATTTTCCTTCACGAAAAAATGAAGGCATATAACAACATCAATATGCACGGTTACACTCACCATACAGTAAATCACAAAGAAAATTTTGTAGATCCTCATACTAATTGTCACACGCAAAACATCGAAAGAATTTGGCGAGATATGCGAAGTAATACTCCACGTTTCGGGACATCGGTACATTAATTGAATTCTTCACTTGACACTTAATTTAATTCTTCATTTTTTCGTGAGGGGGGAGCAGGGGGGAGAAACGAAGCCAATATGTCCGTAATATTACGTGCTATATAAATATCTCATCATTTTATCTTTATAGTTCATTTGACAAAAATAAAAGTAGAATGATGCAATAACGCTGAGAGCACACTTTCCGAACTCGCTCATTCTTATTTCAAGATCGTACACGTGATAGATACATAAAGAATTTCTTTGGTATAATATATCTGTCAGTCATAATTAGTTAACATGTATATATAATTACTTTTTGTATATATATATATTTATATTTGTATAT